GGCGAAAGGGGTGGATATTAGTGAAAAAGGGAGAGAGCCGACGAAGATGGGTCGGCATGGAAAAAGTTTTGACCAGGGTGAACGAATCTTTGGGAATCGGTTGTGTAAAAGCGTTGCGTTGTGTGTGTACGATATATACATACATACGCGCGGGGCATATGTTGCCGCGGAGAAAGACAGGAAAGCTGAAGAGAGGTCACTGGGTATAGATCGATGTGAATATTTTCCGGACGGCCTCCTCTTCGAGGATTGACCGAAATAACCGGGCACCGTACTTTACGGCTTTGTGCAGCAGATGATACCAGAGACGACAGTTATGTCCCCAGTGATAACCTTTCGCCCTGCTTCCGTGCCTCGATCGCTATTGCTTCTCTTTTCGATACTTTTTACCTTTTAATTTCCCCCTATGTACTTATACCTCTCCTTCCCCCTTCCTCATGTTAAAACTGTTAAAACCTGTTTGACCGCTTTATATAAAACGTTACAATTGATGTGCATTGACGAAGGGTTAATTCTTCGAGGTTCGAACATTTCATTGAGGAAATTTTAAACGAATCAGTAGTAACAGAGAGATTCAAAGCAGCAGATTTGAATCATTTGTGAAAAACATCAGACTAAAGATACAATAAATATTTAAAAATATAATTGAAACAACAATCTCTGAGATTTTAATACATACCTAATTTCTTAGGTTTCTTCCTATACATGTCCTAATACTTACGATTGGCAATCACTATCTCGATTCAATTGAAATTATTTTTATCGCAGTAGATCTTTTCTTCTTAAACGTTCTTAACACGTCTGTTTCCACTTGATTTACTATTCGTGGTTCACGATTCTCGCTATTCTAGAGAAGCTCTGGCATCGTTCTTCAAACGTGTCACCCAGTTTCGTACGTGACTCAGTAATTTCCTCTTTCTTAAATGGACCCCTCAGTACCTAGGATGTGCTGCTTGGTTGAATTGCTCTCCGAGGTAAAGGAATCGCTCGAGATTCACTTGTAATTGCAATCGCTTCGCCTGTAAGAGCATTCTCGTAGCTCTCTAAACATTTGACGCTTGAATGTTGTTTCGTTTTCTCAAATGAGACTCACGTGAGCAAGTACACTGTTTTTCAGATTTTTTTCTCTCTCGTTAGAATATTTCAGAGAATATTTAAATTTAATTCGTAGACAAGGAATTGGATTTAAAAATTACTTTCATGTGTAAAATGGTTCCTTCGCCTGGTCTTCGCGTAAGAGAAGTTTAGCAACTGAACAATGAACGTTCATTCCTATACATTCTCTTGCTTTTGTAATTTTATATTTTGCCTAGAGATCTTCCCCAAAGTTGAACTTTCACCCGATATAGCCGCGAGAGGATCGTTTATCTGGGTTATGACAAAAGCTGGCCACGTTCATCGTGATTTAAAGGGAACACCTTTGAATCGAACATTGTTCGACATTGCATGTCGTTTTTATTGCCGGCAGATTCGTTCGTTTCTTTTCTATGCTTTGTCATCGTTTAAGCTCTCGCATCGCAAAAGGAAATCGAACCAGCACTCATACACGTCGCACGGAAATTATTTGTATTCCGAGATGAAACGAAAGTATTATATTTCTGTAATAACGATGCGCAGCTTGCGAAATAATTTAATAATTACTCGTTCGGCTCCGTATGCTTTATAAATTATATATATTTCACAAAATTGTTCAAACACTGTGAAAAATCAAATTTTATGGACTCAAGGTATCGCACGTTTTAAATATTTCATTTTTATACTTTATCGTAATTAATAGCTACTTTAAATTGTAATAATCAGCTTGAAATTCATAACTGATCGTTTCATTTATTGTAGTTGTAACTAGATATTATTATTTTAAAAATAAAACTTAAGCAAAGACTTGCGTCAAATATTACAAACAGTAATGTTATATAAAATTTCTGTGATTATAATATTCTATCAATGGTAGTAACACTAATTTTTAACAATTAATGTGACCTAATAACGACTGCTGATGATTCAACTATTACAAAAATGACAACTGACGGAAGCTCTGAACCAATCGGAACTCTCCGAAATTCCCTCGACCGTGTACAATTACTCCATTCATCCGTCAGGAATTTCTCAATTATTCCTCACTGTCGAGGGTGTGCGCTCCTCGATTCGAAAAAGTAGAGAGAGAGAGAGAGAGAGAGAGAGAAAAGGGCAGGAAGAGAAAATTATAGATAAAGGTTTTACTACTCGGAGTTTTGCCCTCCCCTGCCCCGCTGTCTGATTCTCACTTTCGTCTGGTTCGGTTGATTCGTGTCCTATTTCGGTTACAGATTTTTCTCTCCTTTCATTTTTGCCCGGCATTCCCTCCGCGAGATCACTCGATCGAGGCCATGGCAAAAGCCGGTCAACGCCGCCTATGAGTCGATCGATATCAGGAATGTACATATACATATCTACGCGAAACGCTTTAACGTGGGTTAACCGCAGATGAAAGCTGAACGACGCGCCGCGCCGTCCGCGCGGACTCAAATCACGTATTGGCCTTCCAATACGGTTTTGAGCCCGGTACTTTCCCGAAAGGTGTATCCCTCCTCCCTCTCTTCCTCCCTCCTCCTCCTCCTCCTCTTACCCGCACATCCCCTTCAGATTCTAATTAGTAGCCCCGAGTGCTTTCAGCGGGGCGAACTGCACGTATAAACGGGACGTCGGACCCCCTCTGATCTGTCCCTTAACTTGTTAGAAAGCTGAAACACCCGGCGAACTTATTGGTGACCAGCAAGTTTTCCTCGTCAAAGGAAGCTTTTCCCTTTTTTACAAGTTAACACGCCATTATTATTCATGGAAATTCATTAGTTTGCATGGTTTTATCGTTCTTGTTTGAGAAACCTGATAAAGACAGATGGGCAGTAGTTGTGCGGCATCTATCTACATATGAAGTAATGTGAAAATAATTTCAGACGAGTAGGATTGGAAAGAGAAGAAGGTACAGTTATATTTAGTATAGGATGTTTATGAATACGTTGGTTATTTTAGGTAAATTCAATTAAGAAGCTTGAGGGGAAGAAAAATATGCCGTGCTGCGGATCTTTTTAAAATATTAAAAGTCTTTTCGTTTGTTCGAACAAAAATAAATTTAAACTACAGACATTCAGCGATCGCAGGTAAAATTAGATGTCCGCACGCAAATATCAAGGATTTTTTTTTTTGAATTGAATTGAAAATTTCGTTTGAATTTCAAGTGAACAAGAATACGTTTTGTTTGTGCATTATTGGCATAGATCTGGCCGGGACATTAATCTTGTCGTGAATAACTGAATAATCTGCTATAATATAGCGACGTTGCAGCCAATATTGGCATAGACGAAATATGAAGCTACTCCTTTTAAGAGGGATCGTGATCGGAAAATTTTCGGTAGCGGTTTCGATACGCTTGCGACGTAAATTTTCAATATGGTCGAGGGGAACATTTCGTTTTCACATAGCGCGAACGTATTCAGAGGTTCTGTATTTGTAGAAGATTGTACTAACCGTAAATAATGATGAACAAGAAGATCCTAGATATTTTCGAGAGCACTAAGTTATTTGTACTATAACGCGCGTATAAGTAAGTATATGTAGTATTTCAGAATTACGAGGAGGGAATTTCGGAAATAACAAAGCTCGATATCACAAAAAATAAAATGTCAATTCATGTACCGTCATTTTACACGATTTATATTCGCACGATATGTATGTTCGAAGAGAAAATGTTTTTAAT